GGTCCTGCTCTGGTGATTGATGTGTAATGGCTTCAAGCCTCACCTGCCCCACAGCGAGTTATTCATCTGTGGGTACTGTTGAGGGGAGTACTCGCCATTGCTTAATTGGTCCTGGTCACCATTCAGACACCACATGAACCGCTGCATTGTTGCTAGTCGCTGCTGTGAACCTCACTGCAGCCGCTGCTTATCACTGGTTGCTTATGCTCCTGTTGGTATAAATAAGACGCTCTTTACATGTGAGAAGGTGTGGATTGCTGACCTTTCTGCAGTTGTAAGTTATTCATCACATGCGGCGCGGTTGTACAGCGCTCGTTTCGTGGAGTTGATGCAGTAAGAGTTGTCATGACACATCGTAATGTAAGTATTTTAATTGCCAAATAGTATCAAGATGCTACCACCAAATAAAAGCTTATTTTCTGGACAACTTTTCAATGTAGTACTTGTGGTGGTGGTGTTTTTTTTTTTTTCTTAAGTTGATTTTTAAAATTATTTTTATTTTTGTATATATTGTTTTTATATTTATTTTGTTTTATTTTAATCGATTATTTATATAAATTGCATTATTATTATTATTATTATTATTATGTTCACATTTGTTTACATTTTTAATCAAAGTTACAGTAGTACTGTATGTACTGCTATTTAAAACTATTTTGAAATCTTGGATATACTTCTGGATATATTTTCTCTTTATTCAACAATTTATTAATGAGACTGACTGACTAGTTTGTCTAGATTTTTTAAAATTAATTTAGTTAACATTTTTAGCAGTGGCGCATAAAGTAGTGTTTACATCGTGTGTTTTAGCTGTTTGCATGGTAAAACCTCAGACATTTATCCCATGTTTTTTTGTTATCGTTTCACATGATATTCTCATATTTATGTTTTTACTGTAGTACTGTATGTACTGCTGTTTTGACAACTATTTTGACATCTTTTCTCATGTAACAATTTATTAATGAGAATGACTAGTTTGCCTAGATTATTTTTTATTTATTTTAATATTTTGCTTACATCTTGTTTTTTTAACTTTTTGCATGGTAAAACCTTTACCGTCTTTCTGTGGATGCTTTTTAACGTTGTGTCATGTCACTATCATATTTGTAAGTGAAAAATTGTGAAACGCACCTCGACCCCTGCATTCTGTTTGATTGTCTTGCTCTCCTGCTAGCTGTATTTGAACACCAGAATCATGAAACATGTCCGATCGGTGCACGATGAACTCAGAACTGGCCTAATAATGCAGGGTTTCCTTCCTGATCGATTAGCCAACAAGTCATTTTAACAGCCCACTGATTAGTCAAGTTTGAAAATACGTAGTTTTGCCATAATTCAAAGTGAAAAACACACAAAATGAAGAAAAACACTGTATATGGAAACATTTATGTTTAGTGTATAAGTGTGTGTTTTTGTGTGTTCAGACTGGCGGTCAGTGCGGTAACTCGTAATAAGGTGATTAATCGGGCTGTGACGTGGCGGCGCAGCTCTGTAATCAGTCTGTAGTGTTGGAGGTTGATGAGGAGAGTAGCTGCCCCATCAGTTGCCGCCTACTCAAGATGACAGGCTGCCATTGACAGGACTGCTTGTCAGCTACACCAGTGTGCCTGTCATAAGCCATTTCTCTTCATTTTTATACCTGCTCTATAAACACACCTCTCACACTGACAAACAGCCCAATTCTGTCCTGCTGCTGTACTCCCGCATGCTCCTCGCATTTCCAAATTCACTCGCTGTAGCTTTTTCGGCAGTTGTCAGGTTTAGCTGCACCAGAGGCTGTAATCTTTACTTTCCCGTTTATCTAAAGAGGGGGGCGGGGAGCGGCGCAAACCCTTTCAAGTGCGCTTCATCGTTACGCAGCCATTTCATGCTCTCATATTGGTGGTCTCGTTTTGTTTTTTTCCACTTCGTGCTTTTCGGCCAATAAAAGATTGATCTTTATTTTTATGAATGTTGACTTAAAAGAGGCAAGTAGCAGCAAGCGTTGTAAAAACAGGATTTGATCCAAAGCTGTTTTCTGTCTGAGTCTTCTGCCAGGTTTTCTTCTCCATGCCTGTCTGTTCTGATTTCCACGGGTGATCGCTGTGCTAGCTGAGGTAGGGCCGCCTCTGGCCAGGCTGTAGTTAGTCTGACCAGCATGCACAACCAACAAACACTATGACCTGGAGGGAGCGCCGGGTCTTATTCCAGTCTAACATATTGCTTGTAAGGAATTCTCGATAGCCTGAACTGGCTAGTTGTGCAAAGGTCTGTATAAGCTTAATACCCTGTAAAACGTGCAGCTGAGCCTATTTGATAATGCAGTGGGGAATCCTGTTTAGGTCACTGTGTGGGGAAACATAGTGCTGCTTTTCATCGCCAGGCAAAAATGAGCTGGGGAATAGAGCAGGCAGTTTGAAGTTTGTGCTCTTTTGATATAGCTGTGCTCAGAGCTCTCCTGAGGACGTGCGCTGCTGCTGTGGAGAAGACCGCCGGTTGATCTTCCTTTTGGCGCACGACGTCACCGCACTGCTCGCCGGCTGTGATTGATTAAACCTATTGCATGAGTATCAACAGGCCCTTGGTCTTACAAATATCTCACTGCAAGTTTTATTTTTTATTTTATTATTCATAGTTTTGGTGGAGTTGCACCACGTTAGGGCTGCACGATTATGACAAAAATCATAATTGTCGATTATTCCTTTGAAATTGTAATTGCGATTATTAATTTGCGATTAAATGAATGATGTTTACACCTTTGTTTGAAGCAACTGCATGCCATATTTTTATATGAAAATAAACAAGCTGAAAACACTAACTGAAAAACTTTTATTGCTTCCTATAGTATTAAGTCTCAAATGTCAACTATACATCAGATTAGTTTCTCTTTAAATAAAAATGTAAAAATATGCATGGTATTATAATGTTACACTAAAAATAAAATTAAAACAAGATAACATGTAGAAAGAAAAAAAAGCATCTTAAGCATGCAGAATAACATAAGTGGACTTTTAACGATTAATTGCTGCTTTGAACGATTATGTAATTGTGGCATCCGTAATTGTAATTGCGATTAGAAATTCAATTAATTGTGCAGC